TCCCTCCTTCTCCCTCCCTAACTCTCTCCCACTCTTCCCCACTCCACACACATAACACACACACACACACACACACACACACACACACACACACACACACACACAAACAGTTTTTTTAAAAAATCTCACTGTCTTGTCTCCAACCTTTGTAATTATTAGTGGTGTCCCATTCAAATATTAACCAGTCTGTCTCTATTTAGCTTCTCAAGATCAGCTAAATTTGACTAGGTACTGCCCATCTAGCTGAATAATTACTTGGCATGGTTGGTAAATCTATCAAATAGATATATCTAGCCTTGTGAAATGGAGTCTTTTAAATTTGAAAATGAATTGTTGATTCCATATGAAACATTTCAACTATCATTCATCATAGTATAAAGACAGTAGGTTTTATAAACTGTGAAGAAAAATATCTTTTGGCTGAGCATACAGAACAGGCTAAAAATGTTAAAATAAAACATTTTACTCTGAACCTCCCCCATTAGTAATATCTATTACAGTTATCAAAACTGAAGAAACTGAAGTTAGAAACTTCAGATTCACTTTGTTCATCTTGATTAAAATAATTTGTGGGTAACTGGCACTGTTTCTGAGGTAATTGATGATACGTTTCTTGATGAATGTTATCTTTTTTTTTATGTGCTCTCAGTGCACAAGACGAATTCCTTATGTGTCCAATCACACTTGGCCAATAAAAAAATTCTGTTCTATTCGATTCGATTCGATTCGATTCGATTTGATTTGATTCGATTCAATTCGATTTGATTCTAATTGCTTGGGGAAATTATAGCCACTCTTCTGTCTCTAATATAATGCCAAAATATTCTTCTTAGGAATATTTCACAAAGAGTCCATGAGGCCCATATTTATTCCCCTGAATCAATTGAAAGCTGTTATAACCCGTTTATAAAAGATTACAGCCTTTTATAGTTACGTTTTTGCAAACATAACATTTTTATGGAAACAATACAGGTAGTCCTGGACTTACAATATATATATTTATATTTAGTGACCATTCAAACTTACAAAAGCACTAAAAAATGTGACTTATGCCTGTTTTTCATATTTGCTATCCTTGCAGCATCCCCATGGTCACATGATCAAAATTCAGACACTTGGCAGTCCTTCTTGTCATAAAGATGTTGTACAGCCAGCCCTTTGCTTACACCAGTTCAGTCAGTGACCGTTCTAAGTTACAACAGCAGTGAAAAAAGTGACTTTTGACTGTTTTTCACATTTATGACCACTGCATCAGCCCCATCGTCACATGATCAAAATTCAAACCCTTCATAACCGACTCATATTTATGACGGTTGCAGTGTCCCAGAGACATGCAACCACATTTTGTGACTTTCCAACAAGCAAAGTCAATGGGCAAAACCAGATTCACTTAACAATGTGTTACTAATTTAACCACAGCAATGATTCACTTAACGATGTGGTTAGAAAAGTCATAAAATGGGACAAAACTCACTTCACAAATATCTCACTTAACAACAGAAATTTTGGGCTCAGTTTTGGTCCTAATTCGAGGACTACCTGTAATGAAGATTTGATATAAGGTCTTTGCTGTTTATCCTCATAAATATATTTTATAACTTGCATGTCTGCCTCTAAGGATGTCCTTAGCAAAGAGGAAAAGTGAAGTTGTCCTCTGCTATGCACAGTGGTGGGATTCAGCCAGTTCGCACCACTTCGGGAGAACCGGTTGTTAACTTTCTGAGCAGTTTGGCACACTGGTTGTTGGAAGAAATCATTAGGGCAGAGAACTGGTTGTTAATTACCTGAATCCTACCACTGGCTATGCACATAGAATATGGTTTCCTTCTATCGAAACCAGTCTGTTTTTTCCACTTTTGGTTATCCAAACTCAAAAGATAAACCTAGGGAAGTTTTTAAAAACCAAAAGTGAATGAGGGCTGATAACCTCAAATGTCTTGTAGAAAAAAATGCCTATCCCCCCCTCCCCCACCAACAGTTTCAGAGAACTGTTGGGGGAAGGAGGACTGTCACATGGAACCAAGCTTTCTTTCAAATTCCATAAGAAAATATGGAATAATCAAGTCAGTAAATATCTATTTATTCCATTGAAAGAATTATGTTTGGGTGATAGGATCAGTCTCTTCACAGTAATTTCTAGAATAACCTGTTAAGATAAATATTGATACCAAGCCACTCTATTTCCTTCCGTCCTTCCTTCCTTCCTTCCTTCCTTCCTTCCTTCCTTCCTTCCTTCCTTCCTTCCTTCCTTCCTTCATTCCTTCCCACTACAATTGTGTCAACACTCCAACAGTTAAAGGAAGAATATAGAGTAATATAACACACTTAAACTATTTTAATGAAATCAACCTTTGACCTCACTGTTACCTCTCTCTGTATGGAAGGCCAAAGCAGGAGGTTTTATATCTCACCCCATCTTCACTGCTATATGCCATTTAGAAGAGACAGATGGGGGAACCCAGCATGGTAAATTGGCTTGGTTAGCAGAATGGCTTTTCTCTTTGTCTTTTGCACCATGCCCACTCTTCCACTTTCAGAAGGTCCCCTCATCTTTGAAGAATATAAAAAGATCAATGGGGGAGTAATTTGTGTTAAGAATTCTATTCTACTGGTGAACAAACGGACTGTCCGTTTGTTCTACTGTAAGAAATATCTCATTCAATTGTGTATGGCTTATTTATGTCTTCCAACATTGAAAAATGGTCTAATATGCAACTGCTAGACATCTTTTTGATTCTTTAAACTGACACTCTGAGATATTTAATATATATATATATATATATCTACATACAAAGACAGAGAGAAGGAGGGAGGGAGGCAGAGAGAGAGAGAGAGAGGGAAAGAAAGAGAGATCAAACAAGCCAATGAAGTAAGTCTTGTTATTCATTGCCAAATGGATTCCAAATGCTTTGGGATGAAATAAGACATTTATATGGGGTGAGTTGTAGAATTTGCCAAAAGATGGAAAATTGGTAATAAAAGACGAGGGGCGTAAAATAGAAACTAAGATTAAAAAGTGACACGTTCTTGAAAATATATATTTGAAATACAGCCTGTATTATCTCTGAGAATTTTATTGTCTTGGACACTACAAAAATTTTCTCTACAGGAATCTCACTATCTCTGGCTAGTGATCTGTAGGTACTAGATTTGTTTGACTCAATCTCATAACTCTAAAGCAACTCTGGAATGAATCCCTGAAGAACAAGGAGGATTTTGTGCCCCTCAAACAATTTCACATATTCTCTGCTGGGCAGCATTTTCTCTGCTTGGGTTGGCTGACTCTATAAACTGAACAAAGGGGAAGGGGTGATTTTCTTGGAGCAGCTCAGGAGTTCATGGCCATCAAGCAAATCATGAACCTGATACATACCACTGTCCATTACTGCCAAGTTGCTGGAGGCATGGTGCTGGGGATGTAGATAGGATGAGCTTGAACCCATGCCTCCAGAGGAGGACAAGCCCAGCTTTAACTCTCCTGGCTTTAAAGCCAGCTCAGTTGGTGAGCTAAGGGTCCATACAACAGTGTCATTCAGGGGAGCAGACTAGTCCTACAATCCTTGAAAGAAGTAATACTTCCCATCTTTAATTTCAATGTAGTAGCACTTCTCCTTTTAGGATTGGAGCACAAATTCAGGGTTTTTCCTGAACTCACAGCACTTGCTCCAAAACCAGGTTGCAGCTGTGGCCAGAAGAGATTCATCTGCAGAGATTAATCTGTTGCAGCCCTGGACTAGAGTGTCCTTCAGACAGTCACTCACGCACTAGTCACCTCTCATTTGGACTTTGCATGGCAGATCTTTAAAGACCACTCAGAAATTTCTGAAGCGGCATCAGTTCCAGTTAGTTTTCAGGTACAATTTGAAGTACTGGTTACCTTCTACATAGCACCCAAGTTTGGCTATTTAAAGGGCCACCTATTCTAATAATTTCTGCCCATCCTGGATAATATATCTGGCTCCTATTGATTTAACAATGTAACCGGATGGGACGCAGGAAATGAGACTTCTTTGTTTGTCATTTGCTTTCTGGAACAACATATCCCAAGAGAGCCATAATCCCCCCCCTCCGGCTATACTTTAAAAAAAATTCCCTGGGCCTTGGGAAAGCATGGTGGGGAGCCCATTTTAGAATTAAATGTGCTAGTTGGATATTTTCTTCTGAGATGTACAACATTTTTTAATTATTATTTTCGTTTCTATTGATTTGAAGATTGTAAGCCATCCAGAGTTGGGCAACCATGTAAATGTAATACATGTCAATAAAACAAACTATGGGTCATATTATATTCTAGAAATATTATGTCTGCACAGAACAAGTTTTGGTCTGTGGGCTTGCAATTGATAGTGTTTTGGATGAAGTTTCATCTTGCCTTTGCATTTTGTTGGGAGCTCTTGAGTCTGATGATATCTTGGGTTGATGAGGTGATCCCTAGGTATGTTTTTTGCTCAACTTAGAGTTCTGTGCTGTGATGGTCATGCCTATGGTTGGAGTACGTAGACTTGGTCACATTTGAATATGTCAATTACCTTGAGACTGAGACAAGATGCCTTAGTGAAGCAGGGCAACCTTGGAAGAGACCTTGGAAAATATGGATTGATTAAGAATGATGTGGCAAAATTCCAAAGAAGAGGGAGGGGTTTTGAATGCAAGGAAAGAGGGAGGGACAACCTTTTGTTTATATCAATTGTTTATTTAGTCATGCCCATTTAAACTTCGCATACTATTTTCATGGTCCTAAAACTTTAAAATCAGATTGCCAATTGAATTCTCTCTCCTTTGCCTGACTTCCCCTACCCCCAAACTAACCCTTCTAGCAAAGTCCCAGGAAGAACATTTCCTGATGGACACATACCATCTCTATTGGAATTTTGAGGCCCAGGACATCAATTTTTCATCTTGACTATTTTTGGAATATTTTCCCATTGTTGTTGTTTTAGTAGTTGTTATAGTAGTTGCAGTTGTAGTTCTTCTCTTTCTCCTCCTCCTCCTCCTCCTCCTTCTCCTTCTCCTTCTCCTTCTTCTGTATGTTTTAGTATTTTATTGTTGTGGTTTTTATTGTGTGAGCCGCCCCGAGTCCTACGGGAGAAGGGCGGCATATAAATTTTAATAATAAAATAAATAATAAATAATATAAGTCACTAATGTCTTTTTTAAAAAATACAGGATCAAATTGATTTTTTTGAAATATGAGGTTTATATTCCATCTTTTTAGAAATAGCTCAAATACTCATTAAATTCTTACACCCACCAAACCACAATCAGAACACAAAAATCATTTGGGAAAAAAAGTTGTTCCATGTTAAGTTTCCTATCAAAGGAATCGCTTAACTGCTGCATCACTGCTCTAAGTCCATCAATTCAATCCCCCTCCAGATGTTTCTTTTGAAGCACAGGCAGCTGTTGTGTATTCTTTCCAAAAGCATATTTACATTTCCCCCTCCCACCCATGCACTGTAATAAAAGATGTCCTTCCAGATGCATCATTTGCTTTCCAGCAAGCATTCCTCTTGCAAAAGGTGCAGACGTCGGATGAACTTCTTATCCCAACATGAATCTCCTCTGGACTACAGATGTGATGCTGGAGTCACAGCAGGATATGCTTTCCCATGCACGACTAGCAATTGTTATGGGCAATTAAAACTGAATTCAGATGGCCATGGCTCTATGTGAAGGGCTGTCAAGCCAAATCTTGTCTTGAAATAAGATGATGGGAAAAGAGCAGAAGTGTCAACTGTTAAACACAGTAGCTAGACAGCTGACAGATCACAGCTGACAGCTGACTGATTTATATAGATATCCGGGATTGCATTATACTCTGTTCCTGGCAGCTACACAGATGCATCCATACAGTCTCCTTGGCAAAAATATGTAAGTGACTTGCCTTTGCCTTCTTCCAAAATACTTCCCACTCCAAGTTCTTAAGTCAAATACATATAGGCATATATTATATGACCAAATTAGACTGTAAGAGTTAGTCTGGCATAGTAGTAATTGATAATGTGAAAAAGCCCAGAGTTCTTGCCATCTGGCACCTGAGGATGAGCTGCCTGGGGTTACTCCTGCTGGGGAGGTCTGCAGTGGTGCACTGTTGAATTCTCAGTTGAATTTACTGCTCCGCTTTTAATCCTCGTATGCCCAAAAATGGAGCTTGTATGATAACAGTGTGGCTACCATAAAGGCAACTCTCAAATTCATTTTATTTATAATGCAACTGAACAACAGAACTTTGGGTAAAATTAAGATGCCATCCTGCCCACCTATCCACTTTTCTGTCGGTGGGAGCCTAAAGTAGTTGGGAGTATGAAAGAAGAATTTTATATTTTTTAAAAATGGAAATCCTACCCAATTCTGCCTTTAGACCTTGATCATGTTGGAAGACAGGATCTTAAATCTTGAAACAGCATTTACACGATTTTACATCTTCTTGAGAAAGGGCCATAAGTTTCTACATTGAAGTTTCTGTGGGGAACTTTACTATGCCATGCAAACCATATTATATGCAAAAAAAAAAAATGTTTCCTTTTATTCGTTTATTTGTCTTTATCAGAATAATGTTTGCTGTCCATGGCATTTTTTAAAGTTCTTTTTATTTTTAATTATTCATTAGGTAAAGGTAAAGGTTCCCCTTGCACATATGTGCTAGTTGTTCCCAGCTCTAGGGGCCGGTGCTCATCTCCATTTCAAAGCCGAAGAGCCAGCGCGGTCCGAAGACGTCTCCATGGTCATTTGGTTGGCATGACTAAATGCCAAAGGCACACAGAACGCTGTTACCTTCCCACCAAAGGTGGTCCCTATTTTTCTACTTGCATTTTTTTTACATGCTTTTGAACTGCTAGGTTGGCAGAAGCTGGGACAAGTAACAGGAGCTCACCCCTTTACGCGGTACTAGGGATTCGAACCTCTGAACTGCCAACCTTTCAATCGACAAGCTCAGCATCTTAGCCACTGAGCCACCGTGTCCCTAATTATTCATTAGTTGCCTATAATTAAGGTTGTGTACATTTAAGCTTGTGGAATTTTATAATAACAGAGAGATAATTCCATAATTTCCTCTCCTGATAAGCAAGGCTATATGTAAGTCTTTTGAAAGTTTATGACTATCATTTTAGGCAGATGATTTGGGGAATTAGGCTAACAGGGATTAAATATGTGATCTGTGCAAATTGAATAGGTGTACAATCTCCCAAATTTCAGATTTCTATTTTTTTTAAAAAGTGTAATCTATCTTTGAATCCACTGGTAACGTTTAAGGCAGTTAAAAACAAATTACTTTCACACATTCCAGGTTATTCATTTGTATTTTATTTTTCATTCTAATAGTGTCTACCATTTTAATAGTGTCTGTTATTTCCTGCTTTCTTTTTAGCTTGTTCTTTGTTTGAATTTCTGTTAGTGAGAAACTTTGGCTGGTGGATCACATGTAGTCCCCAAACCATCCTGTGTTCAGTTAATAGCATAATGGCCAAGTTTATGTGGCAGAGTTTTCAGCTAAAGAAAGAAAAATCAAAATCAAACAAGCATTTCAAAAGGCTTGAGAACAAATATTTGGCTCAGAAAAAGCACTGAGATCTTTACTTCCAATATATAATTGTCCTATGGGCATTGGGAGTGATTTATTGAGGACTAATATTCATGTAGCACATTGTTGGCATGTATAAGAAGTTAAGGAAATGTGAAAACATGCCGACAGTGTAAAATGGTCTGGCATTCCCGTAACTTTCCATCCCAAGAGAGAAAAGAGCGATAGGATTTGGAGTTTGGGAATGTCAATTCCAAGAGAAGACACTGAATTTGCAATGAGATTAAATGTTACCTGGCATCTTTTACAGTTCCCAAAGCATAGCTATTCCAGGCATAGATGATGTAGCAGTGACTTGTCAATTGCTATTCCACTTCAAGCTGCTAGGGCAAGCTGATTCAACCTGCCTGCTTGACTTTTAGTCACAATGAGCCAGCAATATTTTTTTTTTAGAGAGTTGAAAGAGATGACTACTTGGTACTCATTCCTTCCTATTGCAAGTGTGACTCCAGGCTCTTTTGTTCTTTTCTCACTCCCCTTGAAAACTCCTGTCTGTTTTGGCTAGTGAGCTTTATTTATTATAGGCTAATTCTAGCAATTAATTAACTGCTTCACAGAGATAAGAATGTCCCTTCAACAGAGTGAATCATCTCCTCCTCCTCCTCCTCTTCTTCCTCCTCCTTCTTCTCCTCCTCCTCCTCCTCCTTGTCCCTGGTCCTTCAGAACAACATTTGATGCCTGACTGTGTCTAATGATGGACAGAAACATTGGATTTTTATGAGAAATCCAATTTTATAAGAAAATTGAAAGGAGAAAACATGAAAAGTTTTTTCAGTACTTAGAAATGTATAGAGATAGCTTCTAAAACGTGATTGCACAGAATGTGGCTGTTCCAGGCTGAGAACACATAAATGAACAACGAAATAAATACAAAAAGAAGCTCTTAAACTGATTCAGCCACAAGTATCCACAAAGGAAGGAAAGAACAAAATGTGCTTTCATGACACAAATACAACTTTCATCCTTGCATCAGATTCTGGAATGCAAGTAGATAAAGTCAGAATTTGTGTCATGATGCCATCCCTGGTATTTGTGTCATTTTATTTTGCTGTGGATCTCATAGGACCCAGGCATTTATATAAAGGGAATTATGGAAAAATGATGACATCTTTGTGGCAATGTCTTGACACTAGCCCTGCCCTTATCTCCTTGCATCCTATCATCTGATACAAATATATAACACACAGCACTTATATCATGACATTATGATGTATATTTCATCATGTGACTCCATGAACGCTTATGCAGGTGGCTTACCATCTTTTGTGCAAAACTCCAAACCAATATTCCACATCATAGCGTATATCTGTACATAATTGTTTCAATTGCTATGATATCACCATATCATTGTAATTGCAATGTAGGAATAAACGGTCCCATTGAAATTAGCAATCTAAGAACATCTTTATACAATACATACAGCTATCAAGTGTTATGGCTAGAAAGAGAAGGGAATGAAGCTTATATTAACAACAACTTTGGAATAGAGTTAGATTTCACATAACCTTTTGAAATAACTGTAAGTGCTGTTTGTTTCTTTTGTAGCATCCTTGAAGCAGTTAACATTATTCTCATGACTCTGTTGAATATGCCTTGCAGAGTCACAGATTATTTTAACATGTTGCTTTTGGAAAAAGTTCTAAGCATGCCAGTTGATTCTACTCTTCCAAGTCCCCAGCCTTATACACATTATTATGTAAGACAAATTTGATTTAATATCTTGACAGCAGAATAGTCTGCACTATTAAATAGCCCAGGAAGGAAAGATATTTGCTTTCCAGATATGTTATATTAAACTACTTTTTAAAAATGCAAGGGACTGACTTAACTTGTTTTGTAGTCAATAATCTATTGATCTGGAATACAAATGTGGCTGATATTGGTGTCTGTCCATAACTGCAATGGTGTCAAAATGCTGACATTGCACACAAGTACATAAGGAACAGATTTTGCATAGCAATGCACATTTCATTACATAGTAATGCATTTACTCCCTTCCTATGGACACCTATGGTTGATGAATCATAATAGGCACCTCACAAGTGAGATAAGAATTAAGACTTCCTCATGAACTTTCCTTTGGCCCAATCCTAAACGAAGCCAAAAAAAGAACTGAACTAATTCCACCTTGCCCCCTGCTAGATGCTAGGGATATTTTTTACTCGGTGCAAGAAACATTAGGACAAAGGGGCTGAATTGAACTAAAATCATCTGTAAGATTTTGGTCAGAGATGAAAAAATTAAGAGTATAGTTCTCTCATCACTTTGAGAAAGTAATGGCAAAAGAGATGCTTAACCAAAGTTGGAACACACCAAAAGATCAAGAGAAGGATTTTTTAAAAAAAGTGCTTTTAAGAATTTAAACAAAATTCCTGAAATGTGCTTCAAAGAATTTCAGAAATTTTTCATCTATAATGAATCCTTCAGTGAGGATAAAATAGATAAAAGATAGAAAATGATAGATAAAATGCTCATATGAAGAAAAATAGGAAAGGAA